CGCCTCTCTAGCTCTCCGTGGCCAGCGGAGCCGTCACGCACTGAGGGAGGTTGCATGGAAACGAAGGGCACAGAAAGGAGGGACAGAGAGAGGCCGAGCGAGCGAGATAGACCAATGGCTGCGCAAAAGAAAAAGAGACACACGGTCGGTGAGAATGGAACAGAGGGTGCTGCAAGCTGCGAACGAGAGAGAAAGTTTGGGAGAGAGTGAAAAGACGCATGCCATTTGTGTGTGCAAAGGAAACGAGTGAGAGAGAGGTCGACCGGTTGGTTATGTGGAAGAACGAGGACAAAAAAGACAACGAGACAGAGAGGCAGAATGAAAGAGTTGGCTCATTCTGTACGCCAAAGCGGAAGAAGGGAGAAAGAGAGAGTACGATAGACATAAAGAAAGGGAAACAGAGACCGGCTCATCGTTTTATGGTAGTTCGCTGAAACGACCGCTATGCGGAGCCACCTTGAGCGCTTACCTCTCCCCGTCGCTCCACAGATCTCGAGAGCTTACGCTCTGGGACGACCCTGGTTTGTACACTCCAGTGCAATGTTGGCTCACTTTGGATAAGAATTAGCATAAGAGTAAAAACCGCCCATTGTCTTAAATATTAAGACTAAATTTGCGGACCTAAAAATTTCTAGAACCCTAAATCTTCGAATTTTCAAATCTCCAAATTTATTAACTAAAGGTTGTTCTGTAGAAATCGGCGATGCTTGCCAATGTACCGATCCTCTGACCTGAGGCATTGTTAAGCGATCAAAGCGCACAGCAGCTGGACTTTAAGGGTCTTTGAAAATGTGTACCCATTTTTGTGCGCTTAATGGATGGAAAATTCCGAGAAAATTTTAAACTGCGAGAACAGATGCGTCCTTGCATTTGCAAGGATTCTAAGTGATTCGAAAAATATTTGGTTTCCTTATTTAAAAGATAACAATAAGCTACTTAGTGTGTTAAACTTTCGTCACGATTATGTACTAATGTATCTCCGTATGTATGCGTATTGACATTATCAGATTTATCGACTTGGCTCTAAATATTTTCGCAAGACTAAACACGTCAATCTCCTGTCTAACAGTTAGCGCTAGTCCGATACATGCATATTTTGCGGCACTATAATGTATCGCTCTGTTTCATTTTAGAACTGAAACTAATTTCGAACGTAACAATATTCATCTAACACAAAGAACCACGATATAAGCAATACGTTAACACACAAATAGTGCTTATATAGGTGAAATATAATACGATTCGGAAGTCCACGCGTACACTGCGTGAATGTGCAACGTTTGTCACGAAACGCTAACCTGGAGAATTTTGCAAATATATCAAGTCAACATAAATGCCTCATAAAATAAAATTATTTTGCAAGGGAGATACTACAGCACCGTTAAGTTATTTGAGAAATACTACTGGATGGTATCAACATAAAAAGAGCAACGTGTACCGCCATTCACACACTGTATTGCGAGACGATCGTGGTAAGGATATTCTACCAGAAATAAAACTTTCTGCCAAGATCAAAATATGTCGTACGAATGATACTGCCAACATGGCAGACGTCCAAGGTTAGGTATTAATTGTATTTTATGGAAATTTTCTTCAACTCGACAGAGACCTGTACTTCCAGGATCGACATCGATTATCCTTAGTTAAAAGCTGTGCCTGGTCGATAACGCAGCGAATCGCGGGAGATCCGTAGCACGGTTAGCCGAGCAAGATGAAAAAGAGCTGTTGTGGAGCGCTAATGGGAGATGGCGACGCGGTTTGTTTTCCTTTCTTAGTTGGCACGCACCCAGAGAACTGCCGGTTATACGCGTTAACATTGGCGTAATTAGGACTTTTATCTGCGGTGGTTCACGTTTTCTAGGCTTTACTGGCAGTGGGAACATCGCATGGGTATGGATAAACGACTACCGAAACTGTGGGAATTCGGAAATTTGGGTATTTGAGAATTTGTAGATTTGGAAATTAATTCTATACTTTGTAACTTTGAAATTTTACAAATTCCTAATACGAGATATACTACATCCTATGCTTCTGACATTACGTCAAAAGGGCCTGTTTATACTGTGCAGGGTTTAGGCCCATCCTCCGCCCTCTGTGATTACGCCAATGCGCGTTATTCACGGACAAACTCGCGTCTATACCGTCCAAGTATCGCGTGTCCCCACCAAATCTATGTTTGCAGCTTCCACCGCGGCGGTAGTAGTTTATACGTTCCTCGTACTCCCCTCTCAGTCCGCGGATGAAGACTGAAACCAGGTCTAGATTTTAGTACGCATCAGAATCTCGACTATGAAAAGTTTTCACCCGGTCGTACTAGTCCACGTTAGAGACGTATCGAACGCTCGTGCTCATGACGCAGTCTGCCCAATACACGAAATTTCGATGTGAGTTTTGACGGGAACGACGATGTCCCCACCACGTGTATGATTCTTTTCTCCGCGTTCTATTGGCGTACAGTTTATCGGCCACCATACGACAAGTGTTTTAACGCGAAACAAAGACCACGTTTTGTGGTATCAAGGTGCTTCTTCTGTCCCTTTTTAATCGTCGCGCGTACACGCGTTCGGCGTCTGTCACAGTGATCCATTTTACTACGTAGATCTATCCGCAAGTACATGTTAACGTTTCTCTTGCGTCATCGTTTCTATGATGCTCCCTTTGTGCGCCGGTTTGTGAACTGTGATATCGCCTTGTAAATGAAACATAATAGTTGAATCGTTACTGTCATTCAATTTACTTTTCAAATGTTTGCCACGACGTATATACGCAATACTTGAAGGCGTCCGTTACATTTCAATAATGAAACATGCACGGAATTTATTTTTGCAATTGCACTTCATTGATACGATCGATTTTGGCTATTTATTATTTTTAAAATTGTTGGTTTATTTTTGGTCTCGTTGACACTTTTTACGAATAAACAATGGAAGAATTCAACTATCCACGTCGCATGGTTTCATTTGCTCGCGTAACCGAATCATTAGTCCCGTTTTTATGATCGCCAGCCTCTCCATCTCGATGCACACGGGCGACTCGAAGAAACGCGTAAAGGAATGCGCGTAAGGTGCGCATGCGCGTCAGTCTATCCACGTGTTCGCGGAGTACATTAAATCGCGCACCTTCCAATTGTTATTCCTCCCACTACTATTTTTCCCGTTTTTTCTTCTTTCTTGCGACCGTGACGACCGGTCTGGTAACCCGACAACATTCCATGGGCGATATAATAAGCGTCTTAATAGGAATCTTTGCTACGGATACGTGATAATAATCGCGAGTCACGCAACGTAGTTACGGGGATTTCCCCTTTTGTGGATGTGCCCGCAGGGACCGAGAATCTCACCTGCCGATTCATTCAGCTACGAAAGGAAAATGGAAAGCTATTCACCGGTCGCAAATATTCTGCCCAAGCGGGTTGGGAGTAAGTAAATGCACGTTAATTACTTTGTTAGAGAACGCACCAAGGTACCGAGTAATTCATGCGGCAATGTAGGTTTGTCGAGCATTTAAATTCTCGAATATTCGAATATACCAATTCATCGATAATAAAATTTCAAATTCCAGAACGTTGTAATATACGAGCTAGAATTCATAATGTACAGTATTCTGCAGTCAAATTTTTACTTACTTCATTTACATCGGTAAATGTTTGCGACCCTCGATCCACAGCGCGCGTGTTAAATCACTTGAAAAGTTGCAAGGAGAATTCTCGAATATCCATCACTACTTACAACGTGCCAAACACGAAACGCCAATTTACCCTTGGTTCACACGAGACTCGCGAACTATCGTACAAGTAAAACATGCACCGAAACGTATCCTCGACCGGCGAATATAAAAATACTGACAAAAGGAGCCCCGGCGCTCGTGTCGTTTATCAACCACGACATTCTTAATAATTATCGACCTCGAACACGCGGAGGAAAGATACGCGTTTATACAGAGTTTCCATTTCGCGATTCGTCACGTTTTGTATCCTTGTTGGAATTTCAAAGTAATGGAAACGTTTAAGTGCTCGCCTCGGGGCAATTGCAGAATCGCGTGAAATACCGAAACAGAAATTATGCCAAAGGATCAGACGGCTGACTAAAATAACCGGGAACACTGAAATATTGGGACGCGAACGGTGAATTACTATTATTAACGAGCGCGACGAGAATTGGAAGGAGATAACAAACATAATATCAGTTGCATATATTTCTTCAATTCAGCGAGGAGGATTTACGACACCTCTGAGAGATAATAATTTAGATTTGAAGCACAGAAAACGAGAGGAACGGAAACAGGAAGGTCCTGATATTGTAATTCAGAATCATGAAGCCTCGTGCCTATTCCGTTTATCGAGCATTCGTCTTGAACTGTTTCCTTATCGGTCGTGAAACGTACGCGCGCGATAAGAGCAAAACAATAGGCCGATTTTATTCCCTATCGCGAATAGTGTCCTCCTCTGTTCGTTTCTCGGAAGGCGAATGGCGAAACGCGAAAATATACTCGGGCCGGGTGCAACAAAACGAACGCTGAACGTGCCTCATTGTCGTGTCCCTGATACTACACTCCAGTATTATATTATAATTTCCTCTGTTCCTTTCGTTTTCAGATACATTCTGCAGCAGATGCGAGAAGAATTTCCCAGCGTGATGGCTAACGTGCACTACAGGGTGCTGAAGAAGAAATGGTCAAACCTGTTGCAGCAGTACAAAGTGAGACGAGGCAGATGCGCGCATTGGCGTAACTGGGATTTTTCTTTCAAAGAGTATTTGCATTTGGAGGCAGAAGATTTCTATACTTTCACGTTTCTAAATTTCTCAATATCGTATAATGCAAATCTTTACATTTTTAAATACTCAGTTTCTCGAATTTTGTAAGTTTACAAGCTTCCTTTTTACACTGCTAATTCTCTATGTCCACATATTTGTTCATACCCTAAATTCTCAAAGTTACAAATTTACAAGTTCTTTCCAACGCTCCGAGTCTTAAAATTATCAAGTTTCCGAAGCTCCAACTTCTAAATCCCAAAATTTGGAGAACACAACTCAGCTACGCCAATGCACGAAGTACTCTATTACCCCAACGATTAAGCGCGATCATTCGTGTTTATCCGCTCGTGCACGTTAGCTCGCTATCTTCCGTCCGTTCCAAGCGCAAAGATAATAAACGCTCGGCAGATAAAGTTGCAAGTTGAAACGGCATCGCGAGGGATGGTTGTAATGATACCTATAAAACCCTCGGGGAATCGATGTCTTCCTCGCAACAATTTTTCATTTTTATTCCATCGAACGTGCCGGAGACCTTGACGGGTTCGAAATAACCCCTAAAGGTTTACGGGACGATAAAAATGTCGGAAATGGGGGGAATACGTTGCTCTCGGGAGCAATTCCGCGCGGATACACGCGATCGTGCACGACCCGCTTAGCTCGTCCTGTTACTATGCATCTGCCACAGCGATCTGTTGAAGGAACTGAGGAATCCGGTACACGGAGACAGAAACAAGGCGGACGACGTCTCGTGGCCGTTTTACAGCGCGATCGACCAGCTCCTTGGCCACGATCGAGGCGCGACGCCGATCAACGACGAGTACATAGATCCTCACGAATTCTTGTGCGTCTCCGTGACACCGGAAGAGCCCACCTCCTCCGTCGACACGCTTCCTGCGGGATCCGATCCGGAAATCGAATGTCGGATCGGTGATTCATCGAACGAGTCAAGGCTGCGCACATTTGGCAACGATTGTTCCATAGAAATCAAGAGGGTACCTTCTGATGAAACCAGGTACGGTATTACCTGTGAAATTTGCTTATTTAAACAGGTGAAAATGTCTGATAAAAATTTCGACGCTTCAACGTCGAATATCTGATGTAATACAATATCAAATACATCTAATGTAGTATAGTTTCTAGTATATCTAATGCAATTTATAAATAGAAGTATGTGAATTTTCAGACAAACAGGAAAATATTATGGGAGAAAGAAACGAGAGACGAAGAACTTGATGCCGCGTTTACCACGTGCCACGGGCCTCACGATCAAGAAAGTAACGTCAGAGGCCGACTGCTCTAAGGACTTGTCGAGGGTAGGAGGAAACGACGTGGTCGATTCCATCGGAGACAAAGAACGAGCGGTTACGGCGCGTAACGAGGATGAGGAAAGGCCTAGAAAGTCGAGGAGAACCCGAATACCGTATCGCGAGGATCACGAGTCACGGACCGATCGCCGTATCGAGCAGATCTTCGAATACATCAAAAGAAGGGACGAGGAGAATAGATCCATCATGATCCGAGTGATGCACGCCGTGGAAACCATCGCCAACAAGCTGTGACATCCTTCTATCCGCGGACCGGTGAAAGGAATTGCGTTCAAACGCTTTCTAACGGCCACGATCGATTAATTCGCTTGCAATGTATAAGCGTACATAAACACTTTGTAACGTTCTCTATTATTTTTATTAAACTGAACCTTGTATTAAATTCTTGCTTTATTTATGGCGATGAACTGTGAGATCGTACACTGGGATTCTTACATTCCTGTATCTTTAGATCTTTAGGTTTCTGGATCCACTAATCCCAGATCCCTTTATCTTCTCTGTATTTTTATGTGCTGGTATATCCTAAGATCTTTATACCCCCAGAATTTGTTATCTTTGCATCTCAATCGCTTTTAACTTGTGAAACACGGTAACAAAAATGATGTATCCACGAATAATAATTTACTTGACCGTTCTATTTCCATCACAACTGCTCATTGCGAAATATCGCGTTCAGTTCCAAACGGCAACGGTGCTTTCGCCAAGATTGGAGAGTTCGTCGACTTCACCTTGAAATTCCGAGAAAACTCGTAACATCCGGTGGTCACCACAAAGCTGGTATTGTTTAAAGAGCTACGGAAGCGTCCTCGAGGCTCTAGTCGGAGATTAGGGTAGGCCCGAACCGTTCGAGGACCTCGACGGGATCCCGGAAACCATATGGCTGACTAAAAAGACTGCTCTTTTCTGAACATCTGCCCCCCGATGTTGCCCAGCCATTTTTCCTTTACAATCTCTGCCCGCCATCGACAGAATTTGTTGTGGCGGAGACAAAGTTCCGCTTAGCGAACATCTGACACTTGGACCTGTTTACCAAATTACAGTGTGAATCTATTCTTTGTCTCCCGTCAAATATTTCGTTGTACGTTAACATTTGGTCGATTGGAGCAATGTTTGAATATCGCATACCAATCGTAATTGCAGCTTAACGCCTTATTATACTGTAATATCTGTCTATTGTGCTAGGTTCATAAGAGCCGTGAAAAGAAATGGTAATTGGTCGACGTGATAGAGCCACGCCTCGATTCACACGTTGCGATCGAAACGATCTATTAATAAAGACTTCCATCTTTTGAGACACACAAGGTAACAGAATAACATAAGAAAGTGTAGATCGTAAAGGCTTTTCTAAAAACTACAACGAACCGGCTGAAACTTAATTGACCGAACAAAATTTCACGCTAATAAATCTGATTATATCGAAAGAAGTTAAAGAAACGGAACGAAGCAACGCTCGAAATCCAAGTCAGCCATAAAGCATCCAGAGGCGGACAGACTTACGCAAGACGAAGAAGGGTTACTCAAGGGAAAGAAAGAGTAGGAGAAAGAGAAAGAGAGAGATCGAAGCTGGAAGAGAAGGGCGTGCACGTGGTCTCGCATCTGCTTCTCCACCGAGTGACCCCACGGCTGACCCGTTCCAAGTACCAATAATTAACTCCGTTCGTGCGCCAAATGCACACGAGCGCGCGCGTCGGGGCCAAACGCTTGCGTCATACTCGGCCAATGTTCCCATGAAAGAAAGGCCTGCGCATACTTGTGCAGTTATGCGCGACAAAGGGCCGTGAAACAGACGTACAAAAGGTGCTCGACACGGCTCGAGCATGGTACGCGAGTTCCGTTCTCGGATCGATCATGATTGCGGCAATATTTTTCGCTGCTCTATTGACCAACGAGCGCGTTTCATATTCATGACGCATCGTGTGCGTCTTGTGCCACCCACTCGCGCAACTTTCCATTCCCACAACCGTCTCTCGTTCGATGCAACTGACGCACGTGGTGCGTCTTACGCTGACATACGCAACTTTTGATGTATTATGCATATCTCCAAATATGGATCCCATCCGACTGCTCGCTTGCTGGGTCTGACATACACAACTTTTGATGTATTATGCATATCTTCAAGCATTCGACTGAGTTGTGCATCTTATGCTGGGTCTGACAGCCACAACTTTTGATGAATTATGTACATGTTCAGATATGTACGATGTAACTGTCAACGCACCTAGTCTTGTGACTACTGTAATTGATTATATACGTGTACTTTATATTGAAATATAATCGATGAGATTACGTATCGAACCTATGCAGTTAGTGACGCGCCTGTTGCGTCTTGCATTGTTTGTGTCCTACACTATTCGTTCAATGTAACCATGACACAATTTATGTGTCTTATGATATTAAACCTTTGATGGTGAACCTGTTGCATTTTGTGCAATTTAACCCTTGCACTTGATGACGCATCCCGTTAATTACCGTCTTATTTAATACAACGGTGGTGCAACTCTGATATTAAATCTATATGACTAACAAACTTTTATGCGTTTCTTACTCTTTAACCTATGCGATAACTGTATCCCTATTTCTTACAAATAATGACGTGTCCCATGCTTCCCATTTTGCGACCTCGAGTCTTAGGATATTGAACCCGAAAATGACCCTGTGCGTCGCTGGTTGCAAGCAGAAGACACGTCGAAATTAGTTAATGATCGATAATTAGTCGCGTATCAGAAGAGAAAATTATCGGAGTTTGTATTCTTGTCACGACAACCGATGGTACGCGCAAGAAGAATTTTTAACGAAGTCACAACCGAGTATAATTAATTCGCGGCCATGAGTAGTTCGTGACCGAAGCTCGGCCGGTTCCGATAGCACTTTCATTGTTGCGATTTATTATCGTCGAGCGCAAAAAACAAGATGGAGTACGCTTCGAGTTATCGGGTAACACGTGTACCCGATTGCCAGCGATTATTTCAGTGCGCAACGGAAAAAGAACGTTCTAAATCAGCGGGGAAAAGGAACATTTTAAAGTTATGGAAAACCTCGTTAAAAGCTTCGTTCTTTAAAACGCGTGAAAGATTACGAAAGACTCGCGACGTTGTTCTACGACGTTTCTATCGGTGCTTGTACAGTTTATTACTCTGAAACGCAGCGAACAAAGTATTGTCGACGAGAAAATGGTATGTACGAGTGACTCACCAGTCTTGTTGCTATTATTCCCGAAAGAATGCAGTTTCTTCCAGCCTTTCCAACCCTTTTTCCAGATCATAGCGGCTTTAGTTTTACGTTGGTTCGCCGGTAATTCTGGAGTGCTGGTTTTTCCTATTCCTCTCCTTAGGGATCCGAGACCCGACCTAAGTAAATAACAATCGACAACGTCAGAACGCTGGCAGTTCCTTTTTTGCTCGTGCAAACCCGGACTGAAACACGACAGTGCACTTTAAAACTGATCCTTTCTTATATATTATTTCTTAGGACTTCTCTGTTCCAATATCTTATTGTGACACTATCCTCTAGAAGGGTTAATATTATCTGACATTGAAGAGACACTTGGTGTCTGGATTTAGTTAACGTTAGATTTACAAGTAAATTTTCATAGTATTATAACCAGCCCATATTTAAATTTTGTAAGGTCTAAACTGATCAAATTCTCAAATTCTAAGAGTCACAGTGAGGTATTACAGTATTAGTTATGGGACATGGTCAACTTCAGGTAGAAAAGAACAAAGCATCAAAAAGACTAAGCTTGTTAAGGTTTAAAACTGGCCGTGTATAAATAGAATTTGTATTGACCTGTAACTTGCACTGGAGCTTCCACTGAAGCCGCTGTCCATGTCACAGCCAACAGGCGAGAGGAGGTCGTCGGTTGGACTGACCGAAGATAATAGTTCCTCCGTGGACGCTCCGCGTTGATCCTGCGGCTCATCCTCGTCGTTATTATCGACTACGGTCGGCATCAGCATCGCCTCCACGCTCAAATTCAGCTCCCCGAGCACTCGACGATGACGTGACTGTACTCTTCGTACCTCCTCCGCCACCAGGGATCTTCTTGAACCGTGCAACGCTCGGTGACATTGTCTGCTAATGAATTCCAACCATTAGTATGTGGAATTCCTCTCGAGTACTATATTTAATCGACAGCCAATGATTCATGGCGTCTAAAGTTGTCCATCTTTGACAGACGAAATTCTGTCTAGTCATTACAACTCGTCTTTTATACTTATTTTACAAAGTAACTACACATAAAATTAATTTAACCTATGATGACATCTTGATACTTATTTTACAATGTAACTATACATCAAAATAATTTGACCTATGATGACATCTTAGCTTAGGATGACGTCTTAATGGTACAAAAAAGAATTACTTAATATTTTGACATATTTCAAATATGTAACAATTACATAAATAAATCCTACAAGAATTTATGATATACATAAGCAACAATATCGTCATAAGACCTTTGATCAAAGAACTGAGAAACTAAACGTACACATATGTAAGTATTCTCAAACAGTGTTGGTGCAACGAAGACCATAGAAGTAGAAATCGATTGGTTTTCTACGAGGTTTCCATTTCTGATGAAAATGTATTCCTACACCGGGTGTATCCAACAGGAAGACGGTGTTAACTTACAACGTTAGCGAGTCGAGCTTCTTTCGGTCGATAGAAGCGCCGATGATAGCGCGTAGAATTACGTTTCATTCAGTTTAAATGGTTGATGAATACGCACGTTCATTCGCCCGACGCGAAGTGAACTTCATCGAGGCGAGTATGGATGCGGTTCAAGTGGACAACAACAAGCTTCCAACCACTTGTCCGATTCGACCGGATACCATGAGACAATGATTAAGTTGCGAACAATAAGAAAACGAGTTTGTACGATTGTACAGCGTCCACTGTACCAGGGACATAAGTCATCGGGGATTAAATGAATACGCATTCAAATCCAATCCTATCGTCGACTATATTATTCTGCAGCGTTCGATAAATTATGTTATCATTATTCCTTTTCTTCTCCTTGCTAATACATATTTCCTATGCACTGTACTTTGCTGAACTAATTTTACAATTAACCAACTAGTTTTACAATATCCTTGACGACTATCATTTGTTGGTTTGTGTAAACAGATCTGATAGCATTTGTATTGTATAAAATTTTATATTATTCGCTTTGTTTATTTCTAATTCTCAAACTCACAGAACTCTAAATTTCTGAGTCTCAATATTTCTAAATTTGAAATATTACAGAAGAAATTCGTGCTCCACTGAACACCGCTCTTCTTATACTACATCCTTACTTGATTTCTGATATTTCTTCGTAGATGTTCTCCTCCGTCCCGTAGCGGGTCATGTACGTGTGCCTCTTGAACGATTCTGGTCGTAGTTGCTGTTGTTGTTGCTGCTGCACACGATTCAAACCCACTTCCGCCGGATACGTGCCGTGCAGGCGACTCGGGCCAGGTTCGTAGTAGGCGTACGAATAATCCTGAAGGGGATGCTGGTGAGCGGTGCTCGACATAGGCGATGTCACCGCCGCAGGATCCACCAAACCCGAACAAGCCATCTGAAATAAAAAATTTTACATGAGCAATTTCATAAAAATTAAATAAACAGTATACAAGTATGTACAAAAATTGCAGTCACCTGATTGTGAGGGGGTGGGTAAGGCGGAGGTGGTGGAAACTCCAGGTTGACTCTTCGTGGTGTCGGAACACCCGACGCCATTCCTGGTCCTCCAAGGGACGAGGCCATGATGCATTGTTCGGCTAATTGGTATGCTTCCTTTACATCGTTTCTCTGATTTTCTGAAATATATCCCGTATATAATTATTCGATATTATACTGTTTCAAGATTGAATAAAAATACAAAATTCACGTGTTACAATGAATATATACTGCTATAACGTTTAGAACTGTAATCTTATATTTCTAGATTCTTCTACACTCGTATTTCTTCTAAATGTATACGTATACCTTTGCATCTCAAAACTTGTATATACGATATCACTAAATTGTCGAATTGTAATATTAAATATAACAAAAATAAAATCCTATTTAATACTAAATATAACAAATAATAAAATTAATTAACTTCCGTGATACCAAATATTTAATCGAAATAGAAGTTGTGTAAATAGTCGGCGAGGGAAAAGGTGGTCCTAACCTAACACGAAAGCCCGGTTTTATCGGTAAGAGGGAGGAAATTTAAAGAGGGAACCAAGGTCCTGCGTAAACGCGATAACATCGTGCACGGCACGACTACGACGTGGATGATGACGGTGTTGGTGTGTCGCGGAGGGAAGAACACAGGTGCGCGGGACATGATACACACGCTGCGAACGCGACGATTGAGATTCAAAACGCAGCATATAATTCGCTAACGCCGTGCACACTCGACGATGTGTAATAACGTTCGCCGGCTGTGAGATCCAGCTAACAAGATAAACGTGTTGTTATTCGCGACGCTCTTGTAACGCGTTTCTTCGCGCGTTACCATCATAATGATAGAAATTAGCCTGTGTTTATCGTCGACGGTGATACCACGCCAGGTTAGGGTATATTGTTCCGGTGAACGTTACCTTTGTGGCCCTTCGTAACACCGAAACACAAACGAAAAAGTTTTGTGAAGAATTTTTGAAGGTAGACGTTCGTCTCTTTACTGTCCTGTCTGGGAATTTGACTAAGCGAACCTTAATAAATCTGGAACGTTCTACTAACGTGTATGCCCGGTAGATAGTAATTTTTTAAATCCAGTCACATTAAAAAATTTTGTACTAGGGAACTTTATAAATGCTAGAAAGTGATCTAGGGATATTTCAATTCAAGTATATAAGGTCTAGTAATATTTGAATAATTAATTCAAAAATATTAAAATTACGTATTAGGATCTAGGCATATTGGAATTACGTCCTAACACACTGTTACGCACAATGTATATACCCACACGCACTGTATGTTTATGTACTTGTTTTTAATCTATAAAGTTTACAAACTGAAATATTTTTGTTTAACGATCGTGTAAGCGGATTTATTATTAGACGATAAAGTCTGCGTACTTCGTAAAGCTGACCGAGTCGGCAGTTGCTTCATTGTAAAGGGTATTTACCGACCGAAGAAAAATGAGGCTTGTCGGGCAGTCCAGGGAAATCAGATTATAAAAAGCGGAAAGAACCGTAACGACGGCGTTTCACCGCCGAAACGAACTTGAAATTCAATTTGTGTGGGTGGCGTATGGGAATGCAGACGCCACGAGGAGAGACACGCACGTTGCCCTCGCATGATAAACGACCGGTGTCTATCTTCACCTGCCCACGTAACGTTAATGCAGTCAATTACTCGCTAAAGTGATTCGGCCTGCGTCATAATTCTTTTTCGATTGAGCACGCCGATCGAAATTACGAACACTGACCGGTCGATTACTCGCGAATGTACGTTCAGAAACGCGGCAGAGGTGCACAAACTTCGTTGTTATTTTAACTTTGTTTTTATTTTAATAAATTTGTACTTATTATATTATTAACGGAATATGAAATGTAATAAAACTGCAGTTACTCATAGTTAAGATCGCTGGCCCGGCAATTAATATACCTATTGTTGGTATCTAAGATAGCGAGATACGTAACGTTCGTGTTAGGTTAGGTTAGGCTGCGACTGCCTTCATCGCGTTTACCCATCTGGACCCGCCACCAAGACACTCCCATGCATCGCAAATTGAAAAGTCCCCACTGATTAACGATGAAATCATGGCGTAATATTACTTCTTCAAATATTTAGTCCCCCAGAAATTACAACAGCACTATAATTCCATAAAGGAATTCACCGCATCCGCCTTACATTGCCTAACTTAATGAACCATTTGCCTTAATTACGTGCCTCGTGTATGCCTCTCGTGTCTCTCGAATAAGACTCCATGATCTGTCTTCGCGACGTACTTCACAGTCCTCGCGAACTGATTTATAAACTCGAATCGTATTTTGTAAATATTCGTAGTAACGTCTGCGTAATTCGTTATTACGATATCAAAATTCGAATATCAACAGTTTCATTCAATATCTCCCGTTATTAATTGTCGATCTACTATTTACTATTTACTTGCGTCAAAGCAAATCCAACGATACAGCTGTTCAAATAAAATTTCAATGAAGAAGTGTTATCGCGTGTTATTTAACGTTAATAATACTAAAAAAGTGATTGATAGTTAAATAAAAATATTTCCATGTTTGTAGAGACTTTTACATTCTTCGTGAACGTGTCAATACCGTTGCCGCTTACAAAGTCATACATCAGTCAACACGCGATCAAAAACACCAAGGTTCTTCGAATTGAAATATTATTTCCGGTATGTCCCAGCCATGAATACATACGCACACACGTATCTTCGGCAGCCGTCGGTATTTTTGGATTTGGTCCAAGAAGCGGCGAAACGATACAGGAAGGGCCCGATGATGTCGATTCTCTCCGGTTTACTACACCGAAAATACTTTGCAACCACGTAACGACTTCCAAGAGTGTACGAAAACACGTTCCTAAAATCCCTCCCTTGACGGAAGCTCCTTACGCTTCACGGCAGCTTTTCTATTTCGTTTCATCCCGAATTAAGCTGAAAGGGGACCCTTGCCGATGTCAAAGCGTATCTAATTTGGTGGGTCTGACTTTTGGACGCGTGTCCGTTGTCGATTATTCGCTCGTATTCGGTCGATTATTTGGACGGATTATTTCGAGAAGAATGGAGAAGAAAAACACAACACGTACATGGGGGTCTGTTGTTACGATACTCTCGTGGTCTTATATCGATTTCTCCGAGAACGATATCTGTACATTCGTGGCCGTAACTTTTCTCACGATCTATCACTCGGAGTAATGGTATTTCGAAATGGGAACGCAATACCTATCGGCTGAACGATTATGAATCGAAGTCGTTACACGAGGCCGTGCACGAGCCGAACGGGTCGGCGAATATATACGAGAAGCGGTAACTGTTTCCTAAATTGCCAATTTTTATATCGTGTTAAAAGCTCGTTCCGGTCGATTCGTTAAACCGTTCGTTTAAAAAGTTAATTGAAACCGTTGCGTCCGATCGCTCAAACGGATATCACGTGTTTCAGAGACGGAAAAAAGTGCCGGTTATTCGAAATAAACGAAGGTGATAATCATAACAGTACACTCACTCACCTTGTTGAGCGGGCCACTCGAAGACGATTCCACTCTCGTTAACTCGTCCGTTGTGAATCCATCCGAAATCCGAAAAAAAAGTACCGAACGACAGTTTCGGTGTAAACACACACTCGTGGAGCAAAGATCGGGCCACACACAGGCAGAAAACACAGGAACCATTCGTTCGCGCCTCGTGCTTAGATAGTTTTGCGTTCGCTCATTGTTGAATGTGGCCAAGCACGCCCCCTTGAGAGACCGGTCAACCGAGGAACGGATCGGAGAAAGAGAGGCGAGGAAAGAGAAGCGGAGAGAGGATCGCAAAGCGAAGATAGGGACAGTATGGTCGAAGGGAATGCAAGATGAAAGGAGCGAGAGTGTACGAGACGACGACACGACCGAGGGAAGCGCGTCAACCGCACAGATTTCTTAACCATGGACACAATTCGATTCACTTATACGCGCCGATCGATAATCACTCGTTGAACGTGCACGGTTTCCCGATATCCACGGGAACACCGGTGACAAGCAGTTAGCGACGATTACGAACTGACTCGTGCGTCGTCGATTATGTATACGACTCCTCTTCGTGGGACGAAGATAGACGAACGATACCGATTTCGCACGAAAATCAATGTCCCGGTCGATAAACACCACCGCCGAAACGATACACTCGCGTCGAGACTTCGTTCGTTTCCTTGACGACCGTGATCCGATATCGATCGATTCTCACGCGCGTCGAGATTCGGCGTAACATCGATTGGAGGGAAAAACAATCGCAAAACACTCGAAAGACACTCGAAGAGAAGGAACGTGTACGCCGAAAACTGGCAGTCGGATCTTTTTGAGGCTCTTTTTTCCAGCTCAACACACAAAGCGTTCCTCCTTGGTCGCGGCCCGGCCTCTACTGAGAAACAAGTACGCCAGGGGGCAGTCACGAGCAAGCGGTTCTCGAAGCCGGGAGCCTGAAAACCGTCTTCAGAAATCCTTGCTGCCTGTTCATGCACGGTTTCGTGGACGTACGAGACGAACAAGCAAACCAAGTAAGTACGATCCACCCGCTCGCCTCGCTACTCGGACCCGAGACGGCGACGTTCCATTGTTTCGTTGTCTCCTGGTTCGGGAGCGTGGCACACAGACAAACACGATTGCGGTAGCGCACGTGCACGCCCGACCAATACACGCTTCAACGCCACGATACGCGTACACTGTCGAGCATAGTATGCTTCCCTAGGGAAAATGGCGAGAGAGGGGAGGGGGACATAACAATTTTAATATTTTTCGGATTAGAGGTTTTAGTGGTTTTTAAATTTCGAAATTTAGGAAGTTGAAAATTTTTTAATTTTGAAGCTTAGGAATTTGGGCATTCAGTCATTTGAGAGTTTGGGAATTTGGAAGTTTAGAAATTCGAGGATTTGGAAAATTCTAAATTTCTTAAATAATACCCAGCAGTTTACGTAAATGGTGGGACCTCCTTCTCTTTTATCGCGATTTTTTTTACGAAATAATAGTGCTCGGTAATTCGTTATGCCATTTCCCCCTACCTATTTTTTCTAGCTTAAGCCAACAATGCTCTCGATTGTACGAGCAGGTTAGGGAGCACGCACACGTCGAACAAACCACACCACACTCTTCTCCGCTATAAACCGACCGACCGACCAGTCACGCACGATCTCTCGTTCGTGTATGAATGTCGTAGTCCGGTTACCACCGGACCCGAACCCATCTCGAACACCGACGAACTTATGGTTGCGAGTGCGCGAGCGCACACGATCGTTCACGAACGAAAAACCTATCGGGAACTTTTGAAGTACCGATGAAAATTTATCGTGTTCCCTTCGTCTTGCCGCCTCGTCGTTTCTCCTTGACCTTCCGGTCATTTCGAATAATTTCACGTCGTACCAACGCTATTACTATTAGCGGCTTAACACCGGTGACCTACGAAGGGAGATTAAAGAGCGTCAGGAGGAGGAGGGTGGTAGAAAGTGGCGAGAAAGAAGGGAGACGAAGTTAATGAAGGAGCAGAAAGAAGACGGAGAGAAAAGAGAACCAAAGTGGTTGCGTAGAGGGGGGGCAGAGGAGGAGTTGGGTGCTAGGTGGAAGCCGATGGAAGGGGAAAACGATGTCGAGCAACCGAACTTGACCCTTGCTGGATCTGCATTTTCGTCGGTTTGCTTAGCAAACAGAAAATATTGAGCTTTTAATTTCATGCGAAATTATTCATTACCAAATTATTATTTATGAAAAAAGATTCGATCACGCGATAAAGGCATTCGACAGACTTAACTCGATGTTAATATCAGTATTTATATATGAACTTTCGCTGTGTTTTAACGAAAGGAATGTTGTACCGGTATTCCGTTATGAGCACCAAGGAATTTCTTCTTGCTACATTCATAAATTGCATTTTTTGTAACATACACGTGAAACTGTTCACATACATTGTTAACCGCAAAATTTTCAATACTTTCCCACACAAATTCAATTTTCTGTATTTCAACCTTCGTTCAAAAAAGATCAGTTTAAATATTGCGCGTTAAAAAAAGCGCGCCTTTTTTTCAGGAAGCGTCTTCAAAGTTTAAAGCGTGTTTCGGCAACGCGGTAGTTAAACGATACAGATTTTAACACGCTTTTTTGTAATTCTATAAAAGTTTTAAAATAGGCGCACGTCTTAGAACACAATTCATCTACTGTACCGCTTTTAGTGTCACGTGTTTAGAAACACGTGCGTGAAAGAAGCCTAGAAGAGTAGGTTAGATAGAAGAGCACGAAAACAGCTCTGATAAACGTAACTTGAAACGGAACTTGATAACCACTCATCGTATTTAGAAACCTAACAGTTAGCTGTCGCCAGAACAAAAAGCATTTAGAAACGCATTCATTTTTTCCATTAGCACGTTTCACTATACTTGATATTCCGAGTCAGTTGTGTCTACGAATCGCTTTATGATTTATGGAACTTCCCCTACCTCCTAGCGTGGATGTAGTCGTATAACGTGTAGTGTTACAACACGCAGCGATACAATGCGATGGAAATACAATGCGTGGCGTGTGTTATGACGCGTGGCGATATAACGCGAGGCGATATCATTTTTATTTCGTTTGCAGTAAAAATTATAATCAACTTTTTACATTCACCACGTGCGTAGCTAATTGTTTTTGTAACGTTTATGTAAGTTACGATTAATAGTTCGTAAGGTTATCAGAGTGCAGTTACGTATCAAGTTGTTTTCACATTTCAAGAGATTTCTTTGTACTCCTATTCTTTCAATAAACTCATGAACGCTGAAACGTCTTTTTTATCTACGCCTTCACATTCATACTTATTTCGACGTCGAGACTGCAGTTTCATATTAAAACAATTATATTTCGGATGGAGGCTTCAAGTACATCCGAACTTGCGAGCGACTGATTTTTAAATTGAAATTATCTGCTGATGACCGTGATATTAAACGCCCGCACTGTGTATAAGTAGAACAGATGGTCGTAAGACCATTCGTGTGTCATCACAGTGACTTGTAAAACTTATGTAATATTCCTCATCATTTCAGGAGTTTAGGTAAGTTAATTATTAATTAAATTTTAATTTATTTTTTAAATTATATTCTTTATTTTTATTATAACGAAATTGTAATTAATTTTTACATTCCTTCTCCTAAAATATAGCGTACAACCTCCTAATATATTCTTTAAAATATTTAATAAAAGAGAAGTCGCCATGAATTACAAATGGGACCAGCTTGCCGTTCGCAAAGAACCACCAAAGGCACTTCGAAGCAAATTACAAGTGCCGGTAAAAACTTTAGCAACTCCCGGACCGACTAATTGCTCCAAGAGAGTCCTTCGCTCTCTTCAGAATCAAATTATCGGCCATCTTCAGCCCGAGATCTGTCAGGTAATCCCTTGTTTATTTGCAATCGAAACATCAATACCAATAACCATAGCAATCCAATTTTTCAGATAATGGATGAAATTAAGGCTGGACTGCAATACGTCTTCCAAACAAACAACAGACTTACCTTGGCACTTAGTGCATCAGGACACGGTGGCATGGAGGCGTGTCTAGTTAATATACTCGAACCCGGTGAAACTGTCCTCATCGTCAAATCTGGCATTTGGGGTGAACGTGCAAGTGACATGGCCACTCGAATTGGAGCTAATGTATGCGAAATTATTTGCTATATATAAGTTTCTAAGGCACTTTCAATTCAATGATTATTTGAGTTAAAATGTTATAGATAAGTAGAGTTGTGTTATATTGCCATCGATGGAGCTGCAGAAGTGGAAAATTTTGGAATATAGTGGATAAGCTATTGAGCGCGGTTATACAACGCGTGGAGATACAGCGCATGAGATACAATTCGTGGTAATATAGCGCGTAGATGATACAAGCGAAGATACAGACATAAGCGATATAATGGATTCAGCACATGAACGATGCAACAAGATCTAATGCATGGTGCAATGAGTAAGGATTAAACGCGCAAAAATCTATCACATGGCAATATAACATTCGTAACTTCCTTTAACATTGAGTTGAAAGTGACAATGTTATCCTATGTTTATCAAAACATATTCAATTTAAAAATTCTAGGTCGAGCTGATAGAAACGCCACACAACAAGGGCCTCACATTGGATGAACTAGAAGTTGCTTTGGCAAAATATAGACCAGTAGCTGTTTTCATGGTCCAAGCAGAATCCTCCACAGGGTTAAAACAACCACTGGAAGGTTTTGGAGACCTCGTTCACAAGTACTTTTATTTAACTCGAGAAATTATATCAATCGAATCGAAATTATATCAATCAAATCGAATATGAATTAAGAAGAAACGATATTTCAGATACGATGCTTTATTCATTGTCGATTGCGTCGCGTCATTGGGCGGCGAGCCGTTCTTCATGGATTCCTGGAACATCGATGTGACTTACACTGCTAGCCAAAAGGTTCTTGGTGCCCCACCTGGATTCGCTCCCATTTCGTTCAGTCCACGGGCAGAGTACGTATATTCGTTTCTTTCGCGGTTTTCTTTTCAACCGCAAATCAAAAGGCACCGGGGAAATGGCCTGAGAATCGGGACTCCGAGTGATCATCTTAGAATATCAATCGCACCTGAGGTCATCATTGTGACTCGTGTGGCCTACTCGTTCTACCAGTGATTCATAATGGGAATGTCTGATGAATTCTTATTTGATGACACTCTTTTGGCTTTCTGAATTAAGCAACGCGTTGTCTGTACCTATCACCTGAAGCTTTTACTTTGTATCTTAGAAACTAGATTAATATTAGACCAGTAATTAAGTCATCAGATAATATTTGAAGAATGTGAAAATTATTGAAGCTGAAATTCAGATACTTTCAAATCACTTTCAACACTGATACATGTATAACTAGTTAATCAGGTGCACTTTTTAGAAAGACAATCTCTTATAAGTTGAATCTTTGGCTTAGTTGAATAACATATCGATTATTTCATAAAAAGAGTAGCTTTCCCAAACACTAACTTTTGTTCATTATTTGACCGCAGTGCCATTATGTCATCAGGCACTTTTTATTAATATTTTATTACCTAATTGCAATTTTCTTCACGTCAGACGAAAGCTGTTCCAAAGAAAAACCAAACCAGTCTCCTTCTATTGGGACTTGAGGATCCTCGGCGTTTATTGGAAATGTTTCGATAACGAAGACCGCGTGTATCACCACACGATGAGTGCAACGTTGTTGTACGGTTTAAGAGAAGCATTGGCAGAACTCATTGAAGAGGGTCTCCCAGCATCTTGGGCCAGACACGCGGCTGCAGCTGCCAGATTCAGGAAGGGTCTTGAATTACGAGGGCTTCGATGTTACGTGCAAATTCCACAGTATCAATTATCCACCGTGATCTCCATAGAGCTGCCACCTGGCGTCGACGAGAGGATCATTGTGCAGCGAGCCTTGGAGAAGTGAGTCGCGTTCGCAATCACCGCCGCTTCATTCATTTTTATTTTTAATATATTCGTTATAATTTCTACATAGATCTCCCTGTATTTTTGACAAATTTGTTTAATAATTGAAAGCATAGTTTTACTATTTTCTGATTGTTGTTGTCGAAAACATAAGGAGTAGTAATATTATAGTTATTACAACTGTTTCAAAGATTATAACCAGTGATATAGTAGTGCAAAGTTTAGAATGTAGTGTAAGGTTCGATTGTACTTGTTGCAATCAGAAATTTAATTTCCAATATTTTACTTTTTAAATTCCTTTGCATGAAACTAATAATTATATTATTTTTCCAGGTACAAAGTTGAAATCAGCCGAGGTTTAGGACCGACCGTAGGGAAGATTATACGAATCGGATTTTTAGGAATTAATGCGTCACCCAAAGTAGTGGATCTCGTACTACGCGTGCTCGACGAAGGTCTCATACACGCCAAGAAATCAAAGCTGTAAATGATAAAGCGACGTATGTATCTTCTAATAATAAACAACGTTTTATAGTTAAGAACTTTGATTTATCATTGAAATCTTGTGGATGCAAGTAGTATACGGGTTGCATTGCTACAGGCGTCTATCGAATCTTAGAGACCTGTCTCAGTCAATACCGGTTACGCAGACGATTAATCGTGTGTGTTTGTTTATTAATGGAAATACTGAAATCGGCGTACAATTACTTCTAATATAATCATTTGCATAAAATTCAATTATATGATTTATTGCGATAGTTAGCAATATCAACAATTGGTTGTTCGCTTCTCTTTCTCTCGTTCCCTTTTTTCATTCTCTCATTCTCTCTCTCTCCTTCCGACTGGCACACCTATGTACGTGCAATCGTACATAACGTAGTTGCAACAATTATTAATTACGATTTAATTGACAATCGTTTTGGCACAGTACAGAATAACGTTCGATTTCCATGCTCCTTCTATGTCCTCTTTTTGAATAATACAGAATTTGTTTCGCGGTTTAAAAAAATAATTTCAATATAACGTCTCAAAAAGTATTTTTGGTTCGATTTCACGACATTTCAACGATTATAGCACAATTCATACGAGGCGTTACGTTCGTTAACTCTTGTGTTAGTAACTTCAAGTGTTTCGAAGAATCGAGTGCTTCTAATATGCAAAATTATTTTTCCATCGATTTACTGTTATTAACACAAGGGTTAAATACTGTTTAAACAGTTTCGTATCGATCGCTTCGATTGTTAATTAAAATTTCTTAAGGCACTAGTTCGCGATTCTTACATAATTTACATACATTTACAACTGACGTCGAACAATGTTATCGACCCCAACATACGTGTACAGGCTCCAATGAAATGTATACATGTACGACTATTAATATCAAACATTAACGTTGACGTTCATTCAGAACATTTTTTAAAACGTTCATTGAATTACGTGATAATAAAGTGTGTATACACTTCACTGGAACTTTCTGTATATTAGAATACACTCTGCAATATTCTCGACCGATAGTCATTAATCATAACTAGACAAGATGAAATCAACAGTTATCGTACTGTTCTGGTGTGTGTGGAAGAATACGACGCTCTTCGGCGATTAGTAAACAGTAAGAAAAATAATAACTCGTGTATTAATGCACTTTTAGGACGATATAGTGTTTTAATACATTGATGGACTCGTGCATCTTCAGTTCCAAATAAACCTTCAAATTTCTAAATTCTCAAACTCCTGAATACACAAATTGTAATTCGTGAACATTTGAATTTTTAAGATCTGAATTTTCTGAATCTTCAGTGATACGCTAGATATGATTCTACATTTTCCTTATATCGCAATGTACCTGCCCGAAAAATTCTGAGGGTAATCTGCCCATCACTGTATTAAAGCGACGCCATTAACGCTTCCCTTCCTGACAAAAGATCGGATTATATCATGCGCGGGGATGATTTTAAATAATCGTGAAGATAATATCTCTAACATAATGATAATATAATAATAGTAATAGTATTGAAATAGAAGAATAAAATAATATTAACGAGCACCGTCGACGATTGATCAGTTCGACGAGCCACGACGAAGAAGACTCCTAACAGTTACATATAAATATTATTAATAATAATCGTGATATTGGATAAACGATTCTTATCGTGTATTACATACGTCTATGTACAAAATATCGAAATTCGAACATACTTAAGGCCTCTACTGGTGAACGGCTAACACTAACAGCGTTGACTAAGTGTACATGCACGATGATTAAGGCACAATCACTTCGAATTTCTTCGAAATTTGTCCAACATTGGACTACGTTATCATTCATGCGTATCCTAGTACCATCAGTCAATGGTACGATATAATTTGCGAACAGGAAGACAATTTTAATCCTCGGATCGATTAGACTTTCTCTGCGAGCTTTTCTGTTCTTGCATAACGAGACTCGTTATTTAATTTCGTGACATTCCGATTAATATCGTTTACGTTCATAATTTTTCAATCTTTAATTCACATCGCATAGATCACAGCCGACTTGGATCAACGGAGTTCGCGGCGAGCATTAAAATGGGTCAAAGACGATAAATTGACATTTTAATACTTATGAATGACGATCATTAAGTCGTTGATTGTCTCAGTAAAAATTAACATACATAGACATATAATACAGTAATAGCACAGATAGTTTTATTACTGACTCTACATTACGGATCTTCGTTTACATTTTACTTCTGCCTCGATTGATTTCTTGTAGCAGGTGCATCAATCAACGCGTTAACAATGAAATCAAGTTCAATCATGAATAACTTCAGTTGGGTATAACGTAGGTCACAGCTCGTGTTCACTTTCTTGTCGCGAACCCGTTGACCATGTAAACAGTTACAGTTTCACGGTACTGGGCAATAAAAAAAGTTTCCCGTTGAAAGTGTTGAAAGCAAACAACCAGGCCTACCAGCTGCCATGGCTACGCGCAAAACCGCTACCCCCGATTTCTTCTCGTCTTTCAGCGATCAAGTCACCGCTCGTTTTCCGCAAGCTTGCTCGAACAAGTGTTTCAGACACTTAGACTAGATGCTAACAATGCATTGATTCTTCACTCCGAACCCTCATCATTTTTTCGTTACAATACTTTTTTTTAAATTATATCATCACGTGTGGAATTCCGAAATATAGAAATTTTTAAATCATTCCTAAATTTTTACATTTCTATACTTTCGAATTTTCATATATTTCCAAATCCTGAATTTAATAATCTTTAAAAATTTTCGAATTCGCTAAATTATTAAATTTCTAAATTTTCAGGAGTGAACGTGAACCGTTACGTGATAATATAACAAGAATCCAGATCTATCGCACTCGTCTCGTTATGCAAAAACCTGGGAATTTCCGCTTGACAACCTGCGGCTCGGCAACAACGAATCGTCAAAAGTTTGAACACGTTTCTCGCTTCGAGGATGACACTTGAAAGATACTCTCTCTATTAATTTCCCGAGAAATTCGTTGAAGTTACATAGTTGAAAAGACGGCTACTTTTACACACGCACGCGTCTAAAAAAACTGACTCACACACACATTCGTTAACTAATCAAGCATTACGTTCTTTTTAAATAAACGCCGAAATCGACTGTAATCTCGATCGTTGAACGCATCGAGATTACAGACGCGTTCGCCATCGAATAACTTACAGAACCTAACAATAAATAAGCTTATAATTTATAAAATAAAAAGAAAAGTAGGCTTATAAAGAGCGAAGCCGTTTCGATGAGATTACAGGCGGTTTCAAATGTTAACGCTAGTATCAAGCGATGAGAAAATAACATTATAATAGTAGCAGCGATATTTATACTATTCAAAATAGCGATAGAAACGTTAATAATAATATTGATATTAATAATATTAATGACAACGTGACGAGATGAGAAATGAACGGAGGATGAAACGATGAACGATGACGAATGAACGATGAAACTTACGATAAGTGTATAAACGTTAACATCGTTAATATTAATAATAATAATAATAATATTAATAATCCGTAGCAATAAATTGCGTTGGAGTATAGATTTACATATAGTGTAAACGTTAGCGTGTTCGCGCAATGATAACTGATGCCACCATCGGAGGTTTTTCAGTCTTCTTTGGTTGCTGGGTAACTTGGTGAGGTTGGTGGGTACGGTAGGGCTCTGCGTTTACCGCCTCGACTATATTTTCATTCTCTACCCCAGGCTTGTGTCTCTCTCTTTTCTTACATCATTTTTATTACACAATATACTCCCGTTATACTGCCACATTTCATACCAGATACTATACGGCGCAATATTAATTCTTTTCCGTACATCAACATTACATTACTTTTTTTATACATAATCGATATTGTCAGAATTTTTATTGTCATGTTATCATTCAATATTGTCGACACAACGATATTGCTAGTCAATCTTTTCAATACAATATTCATTATCAGTATTGTTAATTTTCTAAATATTTATTATGAACAAATAATGAGGAACACTGAGAATAAAGCCCGTCAAAAATCTCCATCAATGTAAATGCACCAATTATTATATGCATCACGTATTATACATCCGCGTGTTATACTGCGTATTTTCTCCCGACTCCTGCAATTAATTACCGCAATCGTATCCCCAAAAACATCAATACTCGTAAGTGGCAATAAAACGAGAGTCTACTGTACCGTCGCATACGAGCTTATGTACTCGTGAGGTCACTCGAAGATAGAGAGCGGTTGGCTTCCGGTCCGTTGATCCGTTGATGAGAGCCAATTGATTAATAAACGTTTAACGGGTTTATGGGTGCTCCTCTGTGTGCGCGCGAGGGCTTGATAGACCGTTGCGGACCAAGAATATAACGTCTGACGAGAACCATGCTCGCGTTACGTTATTGTCAGTATTATTACCGTTCTCCTTATTATTATGGTTTCCTGTGATACCCGTCGATCATCGCAGACACACCAGTCTTTCTCTTTCGTTGATTACCATCTTCCGTTCGACGATATTGCCGACGAACAGACTGCTCCATACATTTACCCCTCGAACATCATTTTCATCGTGTCCGTAATCTAGCCGTTCCACCGTCGTATACGGCGAGGATTTACTCCAGGTACGTGTTTTCAGGGCCGGTGCTGGGCTAGGTATTTTATATTGATGTGGATTGGGGGCTGACGGAGGGCAGGATGGAGCTTTGGAACTGAGGATTTAGGGATTTGGCAATTTGGAAGTTTAGAAACTTAGAAATTTGGGAATTTGAGGATTTAGGGATTTGAGGGTTGGGAGATTTGGGGATTTGGGGATTTGGGGATTTGGGGATTTGGGGATTTGTGGATTTGGAAGTTTGAGGATTTGGAGCTTCAAGGATTTGAGGATTCGGGGATTCGAGCATTCGAAGATTTGAAGGTTTGAGGATTTGAGGATTTGAGGATTTAAGGATTCGAGGATTCGAGGATTCGGGGATTCGAGCATTCGAAGATTTGAAGGTTTGAGGATTTGAGGATTTAAGGATTCGAGGATTCGGGGATTCGAGCATTCAAGGATTTGAGGATTTGGAGGTTTGAGGATTTGGAGGTTTAAGGATTTGAGGATTCGGGGATTCGAGCATTCAAAGATTTGAAGGTTTGAGGATTTAAGGATTCGAGGATTCAGGGATTCGAACATTCAAGCATTCAAGGATTTGAGGATTTGAGGTTAGGATAGTTTGAAGATGTGGTGCTTTAAGAATTTATGAATTTGGAAATTTGTAAATTAGAACATTTAGAAAAGCATAGTTTGAGCACTTGCGAATTTAGGTACAAGGAGATTCGTAACAAGAAAATTCTACAATTTCGAAATCTCAAAATTTTCACATCACTCCACTTCACAAGAACCCACTATTCCCATACTAACTGCATGAAAGACCTATTAAAATGAATCAAACTGAAAAAGTCATAAAATCAACGATAAAAATATTTTGTTCATAAAAGTGAATTTCCTGTTGTCCACAGCCCCTACCAGCCGGCCCTGTTTTATCCGCAACCGAATGTAATCCTCCCCGGATATCGTAAGCTCAAACCGAACCAGTCGATCGTCAATACCGAACCGTGATACCTCCATCTGGCCAGACAGCCTCGTTAAATTTCTGTCCTCGCGTAAATTGAATTTTACAGCCTCGTTATCTTTCCACCGTAAATGTGCAACACTCGTAAACCTTAGGACGATCCTCTTTTACCGCTCCTTTGATTCAATCTGCACGAATTGTAATCGGCGCTCTGTTCCGCAGACTTTCTGTTCGACTGCTCTATCCTCTCGAAGGCATTACTGTCACGTTGATAAAGATGGCGAAAACGAGAATCGTATCGTAGGATCAACATCGATATTTCTTGGTCCGTGTGGACTATAAACTCGACTCGGAGTGTCAAGATGGCATAAATCGATTTTGATATTTCCACGAGATCCTTCTATTTGATACGGAAGACAAGACTATAAATTATAACTCTATAAGACGAGAAGATGTAGCTCCGATATTTCTGCAGGATCCTGGTCCGTTCGCGGAAGATGGACGACTATAACTGCTCTATTCGACTGTGGGACGATGACTGTCGAGAGAAACATGGCCCGGGAACGTTTCCATGAAGCAGGATAGCTCGAAGGAGGTTCATTCGGACAGCTGGACTCAGCTGAGCTCTCGAGGCGTCACCGAATGTCGGGCTGGGTGGTGATTGTTGCGATGATGACGCCTTGCTCGACGACACTGCACCGTGCAACAGTCGTCCACCTCTCCTACGTATTCGCCGCGTTTTATTTGATGAGTGATCGAGTTGCAGAGCGCACGGGGACACCGCTTCCGGTCGCATCTCACCTCGCCGTTCTGAAACAATGAAAATGTTAATTCGTACTTGCATTGTGATATGGGACACTTTATGTTGCATAGAAATTCTATTTTAGATACACTCTCTATTAGATAAGAAACTATATGTTAATTATTGTTAGCGTTAAATTCAAACAAGCTTGTGGATTACTGCGTAAGATGATGGACTTGAAATACTAGGGTCTCGTGTTCCAATCTTCTCCTCTATATCCCAAATATTTTTTCTCAATTTTTTTGTATAATATTATACATTTATAAATATTTATACATGTGTATAAATACGAATAAATATTGTTTATCAATTTTTTCGCATAATATTATACATTTATAAATAATATATACATTTGTATAAATATGAACAAATATTTTTTGTCAATTTTTTCTTATAATATTACACATTTACAAATAATTTATACATTTGTAAATATACATTTATACATTTGTATAAATATGAACAAATATTTTTTGTTAATTTTTTCTTATAACATTACACATTTACAAATAATTTATACATTCGTAAACATACACCTATACATTTTAAACACGAACAAATAAAATTTGTCCAAAAGAATAAACGTTCCTTGAAGAGCCGCTTCCATGAAGTTCAAACTAGAAAATAAATGAAAAACCAGCTAACGACAATCGTCGATAGACCTGTCACATAAAAATGGTGGTGTTCAGTGGAACACAGAGTATGTTAGCGGTGATCGCGATCCAAGAAGTCGAGGATACTTTTTCTGAGCGTAATGCCGGGTCCGTTGGCGCGATCCGTGGCCGCGTTCCATTTTCATCGTAATGGATGGACCCTTTTAATGGTCGGTCCGGGCGAACGAGTCCGGTTAAAGGTTTTCTCCTTAAAGGTCTCTCGTCGTGGCCGTGTCTGGATATCGCAACGAGGCTATGCCACCATTCTAACGAGCGTGTACGTACGCGACCAACAAGCAAAAGTAAATCAAGTCGCGAGCCAACTTTTTTTTTCGAATAGACCTTCGTATTATAATGAAAATGTCTCGCCTTGCCCTTTTTTGGGTTTTCTCCGGCTCTTTGATGGACGATTTTTACTAATTGCACTTTGAAGGTTTATTCAATATGCAATTTTTTTTTATTTCTGTTTGGGTTGGGACTATCGAGGGATATTGAAATTTTTAAACTTGTAGATTTTTAAGTTTCGCATATTTCTATGATGCAAGATTTTGCGAATTCTGAATCCTTTACGTTTGAAAATTTCAATGTGCCGAAATTCCAACGCGCCGAAATTCTTACGTCCCGAAATTCTTACGTCTCGAAATTCTTACGTCCCGAAATTCCAACGCCCCGAAATTTCCACGGGCCGAAACTCCTACGTCCCGAAATTCCAACGCCCCGAAATTCGACCGCCCTGAAATTCCAAAGCCCCAAAATTCCAACGCTTCGGAATTGCAACGCCCCGAAATTCCCACATGCCCAAACTCTTACGTCCCGAAATTCCAACGCGCCGAAACTCCAGCGCTCCGAAATTCCAACGCCCCGAAATTCCAACGCGCCGAAACTCCAGTGCTTCGAAATTCCAACGCCCCGAAACTCCCACGTTCCGAAATTCCAACGCCCCGAAATTTCAACGCGCCGAAATTCCAGCCCTCCGAAATTCCAACGCTCCGAAATTCCAACGCCCCCAAATTCCAACGTGCCGAAATTCCAGCGCTTTGAAATTCCAACGCCCCGAAACTCCCACGTTCCGAAATTCCAACGCGCCGAAATCCCAGCTCTCCGCAATTCCAACGCGTCAAATTCCAGCGTTCCGAAATTCCAACGCCCCGAAATTCCCACGTCTCAAAATTTCTACGCGCTGAAATTCCTACGTCCCGAAATTCCAACGCCCCGAAATTCCCACGTCCCGAAATTCCTACGCCCCAAAATTTCTCCAAACTCCTACGTCCCGAAACTTCTACATCCCAAAATTCCTACGACCCCGAATCTTCAAACTCCCAAAATCTCAACTTCCCAAATTTTCACGCCACCCAATTCCCAAGCTTGCAAACGCCAAGTCCTCCAATATCTAGAAATTTCTTAGCTCCAGAAGGTGAGAAACGCAGAGATCGCGGAATAGGTGGAAAAGATAGTAAATAGCCGTGTGTCGCGGATCGTGTCGGGCAGCAACTTGAAGCACGAGCGGAATGCGGCTGATGAGGGGTTAAGAGCGATCGTGTAAACCGGAAATTGTCGCGTTCGCCGAGTAAAGTACCGTGACGATCTCGTGCTACTAGTTCTGAACGGTACGCGTTCGATGCCGGTCGTTTAATACGTGCGCACAATGCCACAAGAAACGTATTATTACGTTCGAGGCTTTCCAATCGGGGCCCTGGTAACGTATGACCGTCGATATTTTCTTTTTCGATCGGCGTAAATTTGTTGCCTCGTAACGTAGCATCGATGTCCTTATCGCCGGGAACTCGTGTTAAATGGCCACCGTGTCCTGACACTCTTCCCGTTCGCAATTGGCACGACTGCAAGCTGCATCACTATTTCTGTCGCCGTAACAGAACCGCGGTACCGCGAATCTCGTCTTATCGTCTTGTACGCCTCTGCAAATCATAAATTCCCTCCTGGCTACAACGTTTGCGACTAATTTTGTCCGGGCTCGGATCAATTAATAAGGCCGCTGACTCGTGCTGGACATCTTATAAACACGGCGAATACGACTGATGTACGGTGTTCCTTTCATCTTCGTTAAAATCGAGGTACAGTAGGCTCTCGTTATATTGCCAACGAGACTATAAGGAACTGCTGGTACAGGCATCGTTAAATTGGCTATGAACTTTGTTTGTATATCGTGGCGCTTTGAAGTGCAGTTGATAGTAGTACAATTAGTTTTGTTGCTAACAAGTGTTACTTTGGAAGTTGTACTCCTATGATTTTGACACGGAGTTAATTTAATCTGGTTGACTCAAGATAATATTTTCAAGCCTGTAAATATTGTAAGGATAATTCCAACTTGAAATTGTATAACTTTCTATCATATTTAATTTAACAAGACAATGTTTTATTTAAGTGTAAACCCTATGATTCGACGTTATTTCAATTCTACATATTCTAATTTTAATGTACATACACTACCGTCCATAAGTATCCGGACACAAGCGAAATATGCACTCGCGTTGCATGAAAGTTATTCAAGTATCTGCAACAGTAACTAAAATCGATTCTTTTCTGCGAAGGTCAGAATACTGGAACGTTTTTCGTTTGATAATTCTCGTTTGGAACTCATATCTCGATGGAAAAGAAGCTACAGACGAACTAAACCGAAACTGTCGAGTGCGTAGCGTTACCTCCATTCTTATCTTCATTGAGGGAACCTAAACATCTACCAACAGTTTACAAACACTTGAAACATATCGAAGAACCCTCTGAATACGTTCTGCACCATAGACATGAAACACAGTAGAAATGAAAATTTTTTTTAGAATCGAAAGTGTTTCATTAGATTCACAAATTTGGACTTTGACTTCTGGACATGAATTTTACTTTCACACTTTCATTGTATAATTTGTACTTAAAAATTAATTCTATTGCGTTATGACACCTCGAAAAAGATAATAATAATTATTACAAATGATACGATAACCCTAAATACCTTTCGTACAAAGTTCAACTATGTTTTATGTAACGAAACCAAGTGTCCGGATACTTATGGACAGTAGTGTATATTCTTATGTCAAGTACCATAATTGTAACTAATAACGTCTGTAGAATTTCATCGTCAAAAGAGTTCCTATGTCCACATGTCCAAACGACATCCCACAATTCAATCTGTAAACGCAACTGTCGCACTCACGAATCACATGAATTGTACGAACGCAACGCACATACCCGTGCATTTTCACAAATCACGCGTTCACGGCTCACTCTAATTCGATCCCTCGATTTGTATCGGCGCGAAATCGCGGCGATTGTCTCATAAAGGCAATTTACGCGACCGCGAGTCGCGCTAATCTTCCTACGACCACAAATTGCACCGATGTTCTCGCATCTCCGGCTAGAACGATCGCTCCCCTCCAACCGTAATCTTCCGAAATTTGCTCTCCGCGGCGATTTGCTACCTCCGATCACAAACCATTCGCATTCCGCTCGTGGAGTGCCAATCTTCACTGCAAAATCGTCTCGATCCTGGAACGGGGCTTTCAAGTGCCGACACGATCTCATCTTCGCTTATTGCGCGCCACTGATCAAAAAAACTTGCGTACGATCACCAACAATTTACTGTGGACATTTACGTCGTAGAGGATAATTTGGAGAATGTGGGGAACTAGGGAAGGAAGATGGGGATAGATGAATAGAGGATGGAAGGGTTTGTCGATGTGGGGATGTAGGGGTGTGGAGATGTGGAGGTGGAGTTTGAGAATTTAGGGATTTGGAGTAGTAAGTATTTGGAGTAGTAAGTATTTGGAATAGTAAGTATTTGGGGATGTGAGAATTTGGGGGCGTGACAATTTGGGTTATGTAGGAATTTGGGGATGTGAGAATTTGGGGACGTGAGAATTTGGGGACGTGCGAATTTGGGAATGTAGGAGTTTCAGGACGTAGGGATTTGGAGACGTAGGAATTTGGGGATGTGAGAATTTGGTTATGTAGGGATTTGGGGACGTGGGAATTGGGGGATGTGAGAATTTGGAGACGTGAGAATTTGGGGACGTGAGAATTTGGGAATGTAGGAGTTTGAGGACGTAGGGATTTGGAGACGTGGGATTTTGGGGACGTAGGGAATTGGGAGGCGTGGAGATATCGAGACGTAAGGATTTGGAAACGTAGAGATTTGGGGACGTATGGAATTGAGGGACGTAGAGATATGGAGACGTAAGGATTTGAAGATGTAAGGATTTGGAGACGTAGGAACTTGAGGATGTGGGAACCTAGAGACACAGATATTAAACTAGTTATTATCTACCTAGCCATCTATGCATCCATGTATTCGAAGATCAAAGTAGACATTTAATTATACAAAAATTTCGAACTGCTCCTTCAGTTTAGATCCATGTATCTAAACATCAACTTAGACATCCACAAAAATGTTGAACTACCCCTTCTGATATGTCTTCCCTCCACATATTCATACACTCTCGCAATATTAATATTTGCAATAACGTTGCTCTTCTGAGCATGCGTTGTAAAAATGCATAAAGTGCGTATCGTTCGGTCAGTATATTCAAAAGTGATTAGTCGAAGGCTGACGTTCGTAAGATACGAGGCGTTGATTGCGAATATTTATGCATAATCAGTCACGCTAGATCGGCCCGTAAGAATGATTGAAACACAAAACTCACCACGACCCGACTGAAATATGTTTACATATCGCGCCCAGCATTTTTATCAAGCGACATTACGTCCAAGTCTTTAATCAATTGCAACAGCCTGTCCGCTTCGAACGCACAGAAGCCAATCGCAATTAATCATAGCAACGATATTACTCAATATCGTTCCGCCATCTATAGCAGTGCTGGTTACCCTGTGTTTGTTCTGCGTTCAGCTACTGGACCATCTCAAGGGTAAACATTCTTTTCTCATCATTTTTTGATCTTTTGTGGAGTTAGGTATTGTTAGAGCTGGGAATGTATGTGATGTCATTGGTATCGTATATTATCATGTATGTGGATGTCATTGGTATCATATATTATCATGTATGTGGATATCGTTGGCATCATATATTATCATGCGGATTGGCATCGTACATTAATATGTATGTGGATATTGCAGCGATAGACAGTGTAGATATTTAGTGGAGCATTATTGTTTGAAGGTAGTTAGTAATTTATAATAAATTTTTACTAGGTTTCTATATCTATAAGTAGTCAGGTAGATTCCTATGTTCATGCTTCCTTACATCTTTAAATTTTTATGTTCTCAGACCTCTATGTCTTTAGACCACGTCTTCAAATCTTTACATCCATAGGTATCTATCTACTTCTCTAAATTCCCAGATCCATGTGAATCACACATACCCACTAGGGGACAACTATAACCCTAAATCTCCACGTGCCGAAATCCTTGCATCCATAGATCTCTACATCCCCTAATTGCTAAATTCCCAGATCACTATGTTCCCAAACCTCTACCAGTATTGATACCCACATCCCTAGATCTCCGCGTCCCCAAATCCTCACATCCACAGATCTCTACATCCTCGAATCCCTAAACTCCCCGATCGCTACGAATCTTGACACCTACATCCCTAGATCTCCGCGTCCCCAAATCCTCACATCCACAGATCTCTACATCCTCGAATCCCTAAACTCCCCGATCGCTACGAATCTTGACACCTACATCCCTAGATCTCCGCGTCCCCAAATCCTCACATCCACAGATCTCTACATCCTCGAATCCCTAAACTCCCCGATCGCTACGAATCTTGACACCTACATCCCTAGATCTCCGCGTCCCCAAATCCTCACATCCACAGATCTCTACATCCTCGAATCCCTAAACTCCCCGATCGCTACGAATCTTGACACCTACATCCCTAGATCTCCGCGTCCCCAAATCCTCACATCCACAGATCTCTACATCCTCGAATCCCTAAACTCCCCGATCGCTACGAATCTTGACACCTACATCCCTAGATCTCCGCGTCCCCAAATCCTCACATCCACAGATCTCTACATCCTCGAATCCCTAAACTCCCCGATCGCTACGAATCTTGACACCTACATCCCTAGATCTCCGCGTCCCCAAATCCTCACATCCACAGATCTCTACATCCTCGAATCCCTAAACTCCCCGATCGCTACGAATCTTGACACCTACATCCCTAGATCTCCGCGTCCCCAAATCCTCACATCCACAGATCTCTACATCCTCGAATCCCTAAACTCCCCGATCGCTACGAATCTTGACACCTACATCCCTAGATCTCCGCGTCCCCAAATCCTCACATCCACAGATCTCTACATCCTCGAATCCCTAAACTCCCCGATCGCTACGAATCTTGACACCTACATCCCTAGATCTCCGCGTCCCCAAATCCTCACATCCACAGATCTCTACATCCTCGAATCCCTAAACTCCCCGATCGCTACGAATCTTGACACCTACATTCCTAGATCTCCACCCACATCTGACACCCACATTACGTCTCCACATCTATAGATCTCCTCTACACATCCACACTTCTACCTCTACACATACCTACCTTTACACAATCCTATCGTGCAACCAGGTAGAATTAAACACGAGTGCCATTAATCTCTAACCCGTAAATGCATCAGCCTCGAAAGAATATAAAAATAAAAATATATCTCACCTTGCACCTGCACTTGACGCACTTCATCTCCCCATGCGAGTGAACGCGAGGATGCCACTCCATCCCGTTCTCGTAAGGTCCACCCAGAGGATACTTGCAACCACCGGCAGCGAGGATCTCTTCGGGGGTGCGTTTGACCGTCGGTATCGCTTGGTCTCGAGGTAAACGCGTGGTGTCACCACCCTGAACGCCGACGTTCGCCGTGCTGGGCGTCGTCGCCGGACATTGCCTGCAACAGGCCTTCTTGCTCGGTCTGAAGGCGATCTTCTCGTCGCAGTCTAATGGCGGGCACTGCACTCGTGGACATTTTACCTCCAGCGTGACGGGCTACAAGATAAATGGGATCTTTAGTCGATAATTTTAATGCTGCGTTCATATGACTTTGTAAGTTTCGCCAACTATTCGTAATTACTTCGTGCGTTAGAATATTATGCAGCGATTAATTTTGCGACACTCGAAATTGCCTACAAATATGACACCGGTCGGTGCTAATGGGTTTCACGGTAATTGCGGTTTGTATCTGAGAGATTAGATCTCGAATCTAGTCTGATATGCGCACATTTGCTTCCGTGGAGCCGAACGTGTTAATACGAGGGTTGCAGATAAAGTTCAGCTGGGACGGCTAAGCAAAAATAGATAGTAATACTTTTAAATATTTAATGTTTAGAATTCCATACTGTATCTTGCTTCAGGATCTTCCACACATTGCATAAAACTAATGTACAAAACCTTTGCGTTTCGTATCATTAAGATCGAATTTCATGCTCGAGATGTTTCACCACTTCGTCCGTGTGTACTCAAGTGGGCTCGAACGTGTTAACACGATCATTTACGCGTTCGAGGATCGACAAGATGAATTATCAGACCTTCGCACACTCCAAACAGTGATAACGGGTAAAGGGTACTGTGATTAGCCTAAGAGTCTCCATATGGTCCTATCTGCCTCCAGATTCAGAGCAATCAAGGTGACAAAGCGACGGATCAAAAGGATGCTGTTATCGCGCTTAATGGAGGACTTCGTTCGACGCGTTTCAAGCATGACTTCAAACAATTTACTTATAATATATTTAGAAAGGCCTGTCACCGATCAGCCGTGCGCCGTGCTCTTTCATGACTCGGCAGAGAGCAACCGCATTCTTCTGGCGCAACGAACCCTCGCGTCGTGTGTCTGTCTGTCTGCTTGAATTTTTCATCGTCGGGGAGCCTTCCACTCGTGTACAACGTTGTCTCGATATACAACGCATTATAATATAGGTACATTCGTGTGTACGGGCACACGTACATGTCGCAGGATCGCGTTGATGGTGGCCTGCGATCGTTACGAAACTCGCCACGGCGAAGTGAACGTATGGTAAAGAGGTAAACAAAGAATCTGGAAAAAGTCATGCACGCTTGGAATTCGAGTTGCCAACGAACCGTCTCCGAGTGCCTAGCGTCTCAGAACTTTATCCGCCGCAACGATTTGAATTCCGATGTTTCGAAACTCGACCTCAGGTTAAAATGCAGGGATTTGCGTCAGTCACCGGTTATCCTGCCGTCCACGGCTAACTTACGATGCTATCTTCTGGCAAAATGAAAAAACCCTACCTTCCATAATATGCATGCTAATGTGGACGAAATCGCCGGGTAAAGATTGCATTTTATACAACCTTGTGGCGCTTAAACGTTCGAAAGGATGCGATTCGCAGAGGGGTTCTTCGCAGATTGGGGTTCAAGCTCGTATCTTCCGTTCTTCAATGTGTTTTGTAGGGTGTTAAGAGGAAACTTACGTCGCACGTGCAGACTGCACACGTGTCGAATCCAACAGGTGGCAAGTATGGGTGCCAGGACGCTCCTGGTAGGTGGAACTGACCGGCCAGGATGCATCCTCTCGTTATCGAGCTGACGTTCTTCCCGGTCCCGTTTACGTTCATCCCAGGACCTAAGTAGAAATGATTCGATTAGAAAAATATTCATCGCGTACACCTCTCTAACGTAACAAAAGTCCATTATCCGAAATCTGAATGAAATTCAAATATCTGTGGGTGTAATTCGACATCGTATCACGTAAGAAAATATTTGTAAGATTGACAAACCGATGCCTCCAGTGGCAATATACAGGACGTTGGCGCATTAATTTGAAATTAATTCCGCTAACTGGATCCGGTAGAGCAGCATCGCGGGGACGGGAGTCTGGTAACGCGACTAAATAACGCAACAAATAGTGGAACCGGACGATGGAAACACGACAGATTTAATTAGATACGATCGAACATCGACGTAGCTGAAGAAGATGACGGATCGGCGCGATGGCTCGACCACGTTCGGGGACTTTTTCCCGACACATCCGATACGTCTTTATTGCTCGAACTCCGCGAATAAAAACAACCTATAATTTGTCTGATCGATTAGACGGACGATGAACGGGACATACGTTTCCAAGGACTAGATTTACCATCTCTCGACGCAACTAACAGGATATTAGTCCTCGATCGACCGGGTAAAATATTACGCGACAGATAAACCAGACATTTATGCCGGCTGACACATTGTAAAGTAACACCGTGTACATCGTGATTGATAAACGTTCGTGTAACGCAGACGGGTCGTAGATAGGCGTAACTAATTCTACGCGATTACTTTCATGAAGCGTGTCACGGCTAAGCGGATTTAATCAACCGTAGACGGACACGTCTGGGTTAAGTCCGATTTATCGATTTCTCGAGAAAACGAACGGTAATTAATCCGTCAGTCGATTCAGTACACGGTAGCGCGTCTTAACGATCGCATTCGTCGAAACTAGAAAAGTATGCTGAAAGATTACATGCTAATAGTTGTCCACTTAGCATCGCAGCAACTGAACGGTAGAAGATTAACTTCGGATACACTCTCGCAGTTACAAACACTTTACAAATGACCTATATACTCGCGTACATTATTAACACGAATCGAAGTGCATCTGTTCAGGTGCTGTGCCGCTAAGTGGACATTTCTAAAGTAACCTACCCGCACAAATCGGGCAGCAGTGGCCAACAGCAGGCTTCAGTTGCTTGCCCTGCGCGCAGGTGAGTGCAGGACAGGGCACAGGGTCGCACTGTGCCAGTCCACGATAGCAATGGCACATGGAACACGGGTCCGTGCTGGAGGTCCACTGGGTGCCCTCCTCGTAGAATCTGGTCTCGTGGAAACAGGCACCCGTCTCGTACGCTACCACAGACGCAACGTCGTTGTTCGTGTAATGGGGTAAGCAGTTGAGAGGCGCTCTGGCCTTGAAGGGAGCCTTCAGGATCCTCTCGGCCTGCTTATCGGTCACCTCCAGGAACCCGATACCGGATTCGATTCTGTACAGCTCCACAGGCGAGAGTCCCGTGACTGACCCTTCGAGTACATAGCCGGTGAACTCCTCCAGGAGTCTCCGAGCGACTGGTGCACCCTGGGCTAGAAGAGGCATGGTCTCCAGATAGAGCCTGAAGGTCCGTGGTTCGGTGTTGGCGGTTGCCGGTGCCTGCGGGAAGCCAGCGATCTCTAATTCATAGTGGAGGGAGCAATCGAGGTCCACGGCTATCCAGACCAGTCCAACGGGACCGGGATGAACGGGTTCCTGAGACAATCTTCGAAGCAACACTGGCGCTGTGGTGTCCCTGGCGTCCGCCACTGGTCTCTGATAGAGGCGACCACGCAACATGGAGCCCATATGGGAGGCTGCCACGACGGACAGCTCGCCGTTGAAGAGGGGCTCCAGGAGACGCGGTCCTGGGCGATCCAGGGACCCGTTCGCGAGCCCGTCAACCAAAGCAGGAGTCAGATCTTCGAGTTCCGTGCGACGTTTGCCCCCCTCGTCCACCAGGGTCACCAGGGGACTCTCTTCCTCGAGTCCGATCAACTGAACTCCGTACCGTAACGATCCAGCGCGGTCCAAGAAAGCCCAGGCGAGCCCTGACGCCGCTGAAGGCGTCTCCGACAACAGCAACGTCTGATACATGTCGCAGGTGGCTCTGGGACCAACCATGCCCGCCAATCTTATCGCCTGCGGATCCTTCTTGGACATTATGCTGATGGACAACTTGCCGCGCGTCAGCAGACGCAGGTCCGCTCCAGACAACGCGCTACGGACCTCCCCGAAGTTCAGCTCGTTCGACGGCTTCTTCACCACGATCTCCTCTCGCAGCACCACGTAGTCCTTCTCCACGTGCTCTAACTGAACGATCAGGGGCACCTCGAGCACGTCGTTAGGCAGGAACACTCCGTTGAACACCAGGGACACGTGGATCGATGGCGCCGAAGCCGACGACGCCGAAACTATGGCTGTGGCCCCTGCGCCAGACATCAGAGACCGGTCTACGCCCATCGTGGGCTCCAGTAACGAGGAGTACTGCTCGGTGGACAAGGCACGGTAACGGGACAATTGTCCGGTCAGGGTGGACGACGGCTCCCATATGAACGACACGTGTAGACGCTCCTCCCGAAGTAATTTCCTGTAGTCCCGAGGAACCCTTCGCCAAACACCGCACAGTTTACCCGTTGCGTTTTGATACACCCCGCCGATTGGGTCAATTATCTGCTCTTCTAGGATGCTCCCTGAACCGTCTACGAATTGTATGCTCCTCGGTCGGGGAGTTGTTGTCGATAGGTAGAACGAGTAGTAGAGGTTCTTGCGGTGGAAAGTGAAACGCCCGGTAGCCACGTAGTTGTAGGCGCTGTTGTAGAGGGATGTTGGGCTGGGCTCGTCGCGACGGAGGACCTGAGATGTTCTGCCAGTTAACAGGGTTCCGAAATCTGTGGGAAAAGTGATGGAAGAGGTGAGTATCGAACGAGTGAGATCATTGTAGTGACGTAATTAGGGAGACTAAGGTGGATCTCGCACTGAAAGGAGCGATACTTTACAGGATAGCAGTGTGTAGGACACTACACTTTACACGCTATGAAAAATATTTTCAAAGTTACTAATTTTTCAATTTTTGAAAATCCACTTAGTCGTACATGAACCCAACAATGAGTAAAGTTAGGAACCCAGCCCTAATTACGTCAATAATAACTAAATTACGTTTCAGACTTCGTTCCTCTTCCTCCGACGACAGCTGCGCTGGCAGATCCTGCACTATGTCCGTACCTGAAACACAACAAACATGCAAATAACATTTATCCTTACTTATTTCATTAAATTACAAGCTACATCTCCCAGCTGTAAGTTGAAGAAATCTCCGACGATTTCTATTTTGTGAAATATAAGCATGACTGCAAAAAATCGCGACGTTTGCCCCCCTCGTCCACCAGGGTCACCAGGGGACTCTCTTCCTCGAGTCCGATCAACTGAACTCCGTACCGTAACGATCCAGCGCGGTCCAAGAAAGCCCAGGCGAGCCCTGACGCCGCTGAAGGCGTCTCCGACAACAGCAACGTCTGATACATGTCGCAGGTGGCTCTGGGACCAACCATGCCCGCCAATCTTATCGCCTGCGGATCCTTCTTGGACATTATGCTGATGGACAACTTGCCGCGCGTCAGCAGACGCAGGTCCGCTCCAGACAACGCGCTACGGACCTCCCCGAAGTTCAGCTCGTTCGACGGCTTCTTCACCACGATCTCCTCTCGCAGCACCACGTAGTCCTTCTCCACGTGCTCTAACTGAACGATCAGGGGCACCTCGAGCACGTCGTTAGGCAGGAACACTCCGTTGAACACCAGGGACACGTGGATCGATGGCGCCGAAGCCGACGACGCCGAAACTATGGCTGTGGCCCCTGCGCCAGACATCAGAGACCGGTCTACGCCCATCGTGGGCTCCAGTAACGAGGAGTACTGCTCGGTGGACAAGGCACGGTAACGGGACAATTGTCCGGTCAGGGTGGACGACGGCTCCCATATGAACGACACGTGTAGACGCTCCTCCCGAAGTAATTTCCTGTAGTCCCGAGGAACCCTTCGCCAAACACCGCACAGTTTACCCGTTGCGTTTTGATACACCCCGCCGATTGGGTCAATTATCTGCTCTTCTAGGATGCTCCCTGAACCGTCTACGAATTGTATGCTCCTCGGTCGGGGAGTTGTTGTCGATAGGTAGAACGAGTAGTAGAGGTTCTTGCGGTGGAAAGTGAAACGCCCGGTAGCCACGTAGTTGTAGGCGCTGTTGTAGAGGGATGTTGGGCTGGGCTCGTCGCGACGGAGGACCTGAGATGTTCTGCCAGTTAACAGGGTTCCGAAATCTGTGGGAAAAGTGATGGAAGAGGTGAGTATCGAACGAGTGAGATCATTGTAGTGACGTAATTAGGGAGACTAAGGTGGATCTCGCACTGAAAGGAGCGATACTTTACAGGATAGCAGTGTGTAGGACACTACACTTTACACGCTATGAAAAATATTTTCAAAGTTACTAATTTTTCAATTTTTGAAAATCCACTTAGTCGTACATGAACCCAACAATGAGTAAAGTTAGGAACCCAGCCCTAATTACGTCAATAATAACTAAATTACGTTTCAGACTTCGTTCCTCTTCCTCCGACGACAGCTGCGCTGGCAGATCCTGCACTATGTCCGTACCTGAAACACAACAAACATGCAAATAACATTTATCCTTACTTATTTCATTAAATTACAAGCTACATCTCCCAGCTGTAAGTTGAAGAAATCTCCGACGATTTCTATTTTGTGAAATATAAGCATGACTGCAAAAAATCGTTTTATCGCCTCGTAAAATGGCGGCGAGCGCCACCGTTGCCGGCGAGAAATTTCTCGTTAAAGTACGCTTCCGAAGGAGCAGTGATATACGTCGATGTTTTATGTCACGCGGCATAACGCCAGTCGAATCTTGTCGCTGAAACGATCGAGTGGATACAGTAACGCCAGGGGCGTCTCTAAAGTTTGTGGAGTCTGGGATTTATATCATTTTTGATGGAATTGGACGAGAAGTTCTAGGTTCTATATTTGGACTTCAGTAAGACACTCAGAACATTTTTAGATCCGGTTCTTCCTATTGTATTAATTCTCCTCTAGTTCTTAAACTGAACCTAATGTTTAGATGTTCCTAAACTGAACCTAAGATGTTCCTAAAGTGGTCTCCAGTCCCAAGGCTCCTCTCAAACTCCTTTGAATTTCTAAATCCTCCTGCTTCTCTCGAAGTCTACCTAAGTCTGAACATCGTCTGGATCCTGATTTCTAATGGTCTCTAAATTCTTGAGTATAGTAATACCCTGACAGGTGAATTTCTCCCGCGAGTACTCCCAGGAAAGGCTTTCGTTAAAACCGTACGGGGAAGGAAAGTTCATAGACAATTAGAAAAATGAATACCGACGGAACAACGCGAAAGTCACAAAGGTATGTTGGGTCGTAAATCTAGAGGTTAAGAGGTAGAAACGTCGGGTAGAAAGGTGAAACGACAGCAATGTTCCGAGGCTATTGGTCGGTGTCACTGGCTCGTACAGTACGTATGCCAATTAACGTAACCGTGCGGCTGGACCGGTGCGGTATGTGCCATAAAAGCAACATTCGAAGTAGCGGTGGTTGGCGCCAGCCGCCTCTTTTCCTACCCTCCGCTCATTTTTTATGCTTCGTACACGCATCGCGACTGAATGAGCCTCTGCCTTTCTCTCCTTTCCTCCTCTCGTTCTTTCTCGCCTTTTCTCCGGTCGTTCCTTCTTCGGTCGACCGGTGGTTATTTTTGTTTTATGTTCGACTCGCGAGCCATTCGGTGCCGCCTTATAATCGATACACCACCACGCGGAATACCGAGGCGTCTCGCGCGCGCCGCAAGGATAATAAATGAAATTAATGGCGAGGAATCATTAATTACCCCCGTTCTCTTGGTACAATTTATGCAATTTTATTACCGAAGAATGATCTGTGATTCATTATTTATTATAGTGGGTAAACAGGAAAAAATATGATGTAAATGAAAGCAGTTAATTATTAAGAATCTTCACGGTACAATGTGTTATAAAGAAGCAACGCGCGCAACAAAGTATAATTCCTACTTCTCCTTGACGTATACCGGGTAGTCTATCATTAGGGGCAGCGTATTTCTAAAATACGGTCGGTAAAAATAAAAATTTGATCAGCGCCATCTAGCGGAAGTTTCCCAAAGCTTGCTCCTGGTAGCCGGATAGCAGGAAAGCGAGGAGGTATCCGAAGTAGTAAGAGGTTTCCCGCGCAAACTTGCGCATGCGCGGTAGAGGGGGGGTTGGCGCTACCTCTTCCAAAATGGCGGACTACTAATCGACAAACATTAGTGATCTATAACCATCAATTTTTCCTTTCTCAAATATAATTTATGCACTTTCGTAATTAAAAATTAATCTCTGATTTATTATGTAATTTTTGATGCAACATTTGTTAAGATTTTATTCGAAGACAATTAATTATTAATATTTATTTATAGGTAAAATATTACTGCCAGATTTTATTAATGAATTTTATATAGAAATGTTAAGAAAAATTCAAAGTGTATTTGATAATTAAGAAAGTGTGGAAATTATATCTGGAAGACAAGTAATTAATTAATGTAAATCATTGTTTCGATCTATTTAGAGAGACGCCATCTTGGATAAGTGGCGGGAGTCTGGGCCTACTGCGCATGCGCGGATTTGCGCGAGAAACCTCTTACTACTCCGGATACCTCCTCGCTTTCCTGCGATCCTGCTACCAGGAGCAAGCTTCGGGAAAATTCCGCTAGATGGCGCTGATCAAAATTTAGTACTTACCGACAGATTTTTGACGCATGGTACAGTCGTAGATAGACACGGTCGTAGTCGTACCGGTAGCGTGCTTGCGAGTGACAGTTTATAATTAATTACGTATAACGAAAATCTTAGCATATGTTACGTGAAGTGATAGATTATAACTCAGAGATTATTTTTAAATTACAAAGGTGCATAAATTTTATACGGGAATGGAATAATTAATTATAATCTATAGGCAGTAATTTTATTTTTTTTCGTGTGTAAGTGATTAATTATTTCGAAATAAAATCTTAGCAAACAGTGCATGAGAGAATAGTTCATGAAGATTAGATCATTGTTTGACCATAAAAGTGCATAAACTGTTAATAGAAAAAGTGTAGTGAATAGTGTCGTGTCATTAATTCCATGTGTTCAGTGAGCCGCCATATTGGATTTGTGACGCAAGTCTGTGCATGCACGCTGCTGCGCGAGAGATCTCCTGATATTCCGGATACCTCTTCGCCTTCCTGAGATCCTGCTACCAGGAGCAAGCTTCGGGAAAATTCCGCTAGATGGCGCTGATCAAAATTTAGTACTTACCGACAGATTTTTGACGCATGGTACAGTCGTAGATAGACACGGTCGTAGTCGTACCGGTAGCGTGCTTGCGAGTGACAGTTAATAATTAATTACGTGTAACGAAAATCTTAACATATGTTACGTGAAGTGATAGATTATAACTCAGAGATTATTTTTAAGTTATAAAGGTGCATAAATTTTATACGGGAATCGAATAATTAATTATAATCTATAGGCAGTAATTTTATTTTTTTTCGTGTGTTAGTGATTAATTATTTCGAAATAAAATCTTAACAAACAGTGCATGAGAAAATAGTTCATGAAGATTAGATCATTGTCTGACCATAAAAGTGCATAAATTGTTAATAGAAAAAGTGTAGTGAATAGTATCGTGCCATTAATTTCATGTGTTCAGTGCGTCGCCATATTGGAGAGGTCGTGCAAGTCTGTACATGCTCGCTGCTGCGCGGGAGACCTGATATTCCGGATACCTCTTCGCTTTCCTGCGATTCTGCTACCACCAGCAGCCCCAAAACCCCAAACGCTAGATGGCGCTGTCAACTTTTTACTACGTCGGTAAGTCACCTCTTTATTCAACTGATTCCTTGATCAACAGGAAGTTATTTCTTTTACGTTCCGTAAAAAACTTATTACCGTAAAGTTGCCTACCTTGTCCACAACACGCGCAAATAGATCGTATTTTCTTCGTAACATACGTAGATACAATTGTAGACAAACTAATAGGCAATGTTTTCAATAAACATATCAGTAGAATCTATTAATCCGATAATGCGTTGACTCATTCTGCGTTGCTAGGAACGTTTCAATAGCAGATACGGAAAGACGTAGTCTCTGTAAGTAGTACAGAGTAGTCTTGCATCTTTCAGTTTGCAAGTTTCCAAAGTACCATATCTGAAAGTCGCAAGATTTACTACGCTCTACGTGGCGCCTCGTTTCCGACACCTCTCAGCATTAAGCTCCAAAAAGCTCGGTTCTCTGACGAATTACGTCAGCCTCGACACGCACGTGCAATCATCGACGTTCGTGTCCAGAACAGTTGTTGCCAAATACGTTCCGCGGCAAATAGCGTCATAAATTTGCTCGTGTAACGGTATTTCCTGCACCAGTTATCGATGCACAAAGTGCCGAGCAAATTTATCGATGATCGCCGTGTTTATTCTCCGGGACGGTTAAGTAAAAATACATACGCGAAACACAATCGATGCAAATTTCATTAACACGAAACATAGTCGTTTCCCCGTCGAAAATCGAAAGGCGTATATTCGTGTTTTTACGACGGCTCGGCGTGATTAGCAAGCACCTTACGGTCGTTTAATGGTATTCACGCGGTACGTTTTACCGAAGGACGCTCGTTATTCAAGATTAAACGTGCTCGTGAAAACGGCGCCAAAATCAGCAGGTTCGCCTAATTGGCTGGCTTTCGCTTGCTTCTCCGGAACGGTAATCCGATACGGACCCGAATCTTTTCGCGATACTTTACTGCCTTCCACTCTAATTATCATTCTAATTTCCACGAGCAATCGAACTCGTCGGGACACGTTGTGAAACTGATTCGACGATAAGTAGCGAAATCGGTGATCCTTGCAGATTGCTCTTACTGATAGAATACTGATGTGGTTTGCACTCATAGATATACATATATTAACACTTTAACGACCGCTCACACAACACGTGTGTGATAACCGGAACAACCGTTCACGACCGCTCACACAACATGTGTGTGATGCTACCGCCGAAGGTTGTTGTCCAGTGCCACACTTTCTGTGTGATAATTTATGAAAGTAAACAAGTGTGGATATTGCTATTGGCTTCGTATTTCATCGCCACGTCTTTGATTTTAGGTAATTATTGCCTATTTTTAATTTTACATTTTACACTACAGTGGTGTACCATGTAAATTATGGAGCAAATGTCGGCGCTCTACGAAATATTAAATTTCTTGTTAAATTGTTGTCGTTTTTTGTTTTATGTTAACTTTTTCGTGAATTTAATAAAGTTCTTTTAAATTAATTCTTCAAAAATACTGCCGGCCCCTGGCGACGTTTGACTGCGTAGACGTGCGGTTGTTAAAGTGTTAATGTAGAATAATATTTAATAATTAGAAAGATTAATGAAGTTTATTAATAAAGTACGATTAGTTATAATTAATTAAATGCAGCACAAATGGAACTTCACGAATTACAAATTTCTTACGTCTTTATCTCACAATCTCTCACGAAGCAATGCGCTCTTTGCTTTGCTCCCAAAACATTCGATCACGCCAAAAAGACAATCTTACATTCGATC